CCCATCTTCTTCCTGGAAACTTCAAAGATTACTGCAGGAAAAGTTATTGTTGATTGTGGAAAACTTAAACATTATTTATACAGACATATATTCAATGAAAAGAAGATAGAGACAAAAATAGGTATGAAGAAAAGAAAAAAAAATTCTACATTCTTTCTTCTTTCTGTCCCATATCAGATGGCTTCTGACATGAGACAGAAACTCTGAGTTTTACTTTTAAAAACATGCTTGGATTTAGAGAAGGACAGAACCATTGTCCAACTCCAAAGCCAGCTTTCATTTTTAAGTGAGTCATGACTATTATTCTAGTTTATGTTTAGAGATTCTTACCCTCAGATGACCTGTCCTCACAAGTGATAATCCTCTTTGCTTGGTGATCCTATTTGGATAATTATCTTTTCCTCTTTAGGCATCCAGATGTCCAGGGTCTCTTGACTTTCTGAAGATGAGTATTTTCCTGCAAAGACAAGAACAGAAACCTGCCCCAACCCTTATGAGGCTTCCTTACCACCTGTATGTCTGTCACCTCTGTGGATAGCCATCATTTCTCTTTCTCAAGAGATTTCTCTTTTTTAAACCAAATCTTTATTAATTTTAATGGTATTCATAACTTTTATTTTCCTGTGGAAACAAGAGCAAAACCCCTTCCCCAATGTAGCACATTTCCTGGTTTCCATTGTGAGGTCAACACATCCTTGAAATACATTGGCTGATTTAATTCAGCAGACTTTTCTATAAACCAATGTCTTTGCTGCTGTTGTCCCCTTCTCATTAGAATTAAGAAAATTCAAGGACAATAAAGCATTATGTAATCAATTTCTGGGGATATTTTTCATCCATTTCTGTTTGTTTAACATATCCTTTATAGTTCGATTTGATCTTTCTATAACTGCTTGACCTGTAGGATTGATTGGTATACTTTCAATATATAATAAACAAAAAACTGTTTCATTTTCTTAGACATATGCTGGAGCATTATCTATCTTTATTTGTGCAGGTATACCCATGCTGGCCATAACTTTTAATAAATGTGTGATTACTGAATCAGCCTTTTCTGAGCTCAAAGCAGTTGCCCATTGAAAACCTGAATAACTGTCTATGGTATGGTATAAATATTTTAATTTTCCAAAATCTGCAAAGTGAAACACATCCATCTGCCAGATCTCATTCCTCTGAGTACCCTTTGGTTTACTCCCTGCAGGTAGCAGTGTTTGATTATAGAAAGAGCAAATAGGACATCTCTTTATAATCTCCTTAGCTTGTTGCCATGTAATAGAAAACTCTTTCTTTAAATCTTTGCTATTGACATGATGGTTCTTATGAAATTCTGAGGCCTTCAACACTTCAGCAATAAATAATTAATCAATTTCTGCATTACCTTGTGCTAGAGGACCTGGTAGACATGTATGGGATCTGATGTGTGCTATGTATATGAGACAAAGCCTATTTCTGATTATGTCTTGAACCTTATGAATAATGAAGTCAATTCTGTATCATCTGGTATAAATTCAGCAGTTTCAATATGCAAGATAACTCTTTCTGCATATTGTGAATCAGTAACTATATTAAGAGATTCTTTAAAATCCACTAGTACCATGAGAATAGCATTGAATTCTGCCTTTTGGACAGAATTATAAGGGCTTTGTTCCACCTTACTTAAATCTTCTGATTTGTAACCTGCCTTTCCTGATTTATTTGCATCAGTATAGACTGTACGGGCTCCAGTTATTAGTGAGTCATTGTATGCAGGATCCATTCATCCATTGGTGCTGATCTAATCTTTAAAGGCCCAAGTATCTTTTTATATTCTAAGCTGGCATTTTCAAAAGTCAGAGATTTGATAAGTACTCGTCTAGCATCTGGGTCTCTTACTCTTATTTGTATAGCCTTAGTTAATCTTCTTGAAAAGTCACTAAAAGTGTTCTCTCTAGCCCTGTTTAACCATGGTATATAATTCAATTTGTTTTCCTAGTTCGTGAATCCTGTCCCAAGCATTTAAGACTGCTTTGTGGCACAGGGAAAAGATTTGTTCATTGTAAAGAGCTTGAGCCTGTGGGTCAGCATAAGTGGCAGAATGCAAACCATAAGTTACTACTGCTTGCTTAATTTCTTTTAGATCATTCATTCCCTTACGTGTCTATCTACAGTCTTTGGATCCTTTTGGGCATTTAGAACTTGATGCTTTTTCAGAGTAGATTACAGGGTAGGAAGCCAAAGATCTGGGTAAGTCATCTCTGACAGGTATTGGTAATGTTAAATTCTGTCCTTGTACCTTCTTTCCCTTCTCATCAGCTCCAATAATTTCCCCAATCATTTCAAATCTTTTTTACTACTGTCTTTTGTAAAGCCTGAATCTTTTGGCCTGTATATATTTCTAGTGATTTTATTGAGATACCTAGCTTCTGGTCCTCATTTTGCACATGTGATTCCAAGGTCTAAAGTTTTTCCTTTAAAGATAACATTTCATCCTTGTACATTATTTGGATAGTGTGCAGATTGATTTCCTGGAAAGATACTCTATCTGCTAACCTATCATAACTTTATAACAGATGTTGATTGTCAAATTCAACAGTATGAATTCTTTTAGATAATTTCCCAGTACCGTTTGACATAGATTGAATTTTGTCAAATTAATGTTATTCTTTTCAATAGTATTTATTTTTTCAGGTAACTTTTGATTTTTTGATGGTATTAATCCTGTTAGCTAGCTGTTCATTATTATTCTGTAAAGACTGTGTCATTTCTAAAAGTGCCTCATTATTGGCTCTGTTATCAAACCATTTTCTTAAGATATGAAGAAAAAAACTGAGTTCCAATATCCAATAAATGGGTGTATCACAATAACCATATAAGCCTTACAGAACACAATCCACAGTATCAGCAAAAAGGTTAATAAAATTTTCTATGGTAATATTGTCTTCTATTATATAAACTTTCAAGTTTATTAATTTATTAATTGATAAAATATTTACTTGTGTAATGAGGTCCAGTAAATTGTTTTCGGTGTAATAGTTTTTATTGTCCAGCAGGTGTTGTTACAGAGTTGCAGCCAGCAGCAGTGCCACTGGTGCAGCCACAAACAGACCTGCGCTGCTTTGATTTTCCACCTTGGTGTTGGTTAAATACTGACAAATATGCTTTGATTGACAAATTATAGGCAATTAAATCAATTCCATATGTGGAGCAAGGAGCCCACAATTCAGGAACAGGGAGCACAAACTGGAAGCTGTGCAAGTCACTGCGTGGCAGGGAATGCGGCAGTTGGGGGAGGATGTTCATGAGCTTGGAAATTTCCAAGTGGCGGGGAGTTAACAAAAAAACCACTTAATTGGTGAAAGCAAGTCAAGCGGGCAGGGGTGGGAGACATGGGCTGTGGACCTTTTGGACCTTGTAGACTGGTCCACCCAGTAGGTGTGAAGTTTAGATCCACGTGAGGCTCCAGATGTAGATGGATGAAAAAAAAAATTCCACACTAGCTCACAATTTAGTATGATAAAGGGTTATTTATTTAGGGGTAGACTCACAGATCACAGTCCTCTGTGCAAACGGGGAACAGAAAACAGCAAGTCTCCCAGATACCTTAGCCTGGAGGAATCCATTGCAAAAGCGCTCTCCCGTCAGTGGTCCCATGTCGCAACACAGAGGACTCTACACAAATCTGTAGACAAATGGAAGAGACAGCCTGCGGTGACCTCGGCAACCAGAGTTTTTTTGCGTTCAATGACCTCAGCACAGCAGCAGAGGTCACCGCGGGCTGTCTCTTCCATTTGTCTACAGATTTGGTATGATCATTTGATGCTGATGCCGTCACTGGACGTCTCTTTTCCACCACACATCTGATGCCAAACCTTTTAATTTCGTCAATTTTTATTTGAGGGACTGGAGATTTGATTCAGCAGCTATGAGTACCTGCTGTTCTTGCAAAGGCCTGGGTTCTCTTCCCTGCTTCCATATCAGCTGACTCTCAACTACCTGTAACTCCAGTTCTGGAATGTCCCACACCCTTTTCTGGCTCCTGCATACATGTAGCGCATGTACACATACTCACGTGCCCACACATACACATAAAATAAATATTTTAAAAGATCTTATTTGAGCAGAGGAGCGTTCATAGGTTGGGCAGCTCCTGGAGTCAATGGAAGTAGACAACCCTAGAGATTAGTGTGGGAAAGGAAGATATGCTGCAGCTCTGATGGCTGAGGATGTCCTAGACAAAGTATAGATCTACACAAGGTGATTTATCTCGTGTGTTGTGTGTTTGTGTAGAACTCCATATGCACCAGGAGTAGTTGTTTTAATAATATAAAAATTAGAACAATCTGATAACTAAAATTCTGGTATGTAAATCCTCTCATTAGAGCTTCCAATGCACTTGCAAATACTATGCTAAAAAATTATTTTGAAAATAAAATAAATGGTACACCTTATGAAATATTATAACTGGCAAAACAGCTCAGCAGTTCAGATGTATGCCACCAAGCCTGGCTTGATTCCCAAAAGCCACATGGTAGAAAGAAAGAACTGACTTGCACAAGTGGTCTCTTTATCTAGACATGAACACCATGGCACACACAGGTGTGGATGCACACACACTAAAGAAATTAAAAATTAAAAATAAATAATCATTAATTTCTAGTGCTAGACTTTAAACTTGGACTTGTGCTTGCTAGGCAAATGGTCTACCACACAGTTGTCTCCCTAGCTCTAGATTAGTGTTTAAAACACAGTAGCCTTTTAATGTATTGTCAAACAGGAAATCGTTTTTAAAAACGCACAGATTTAAAGGACTTTTGAAAAACTGAGAGGTTTGAAACAAAGAAAAGCAACAGGAGCCCACGGTTTGTGGTAACTTTAGTATTATTGAGTATTCCTCTCTTTCTCGGGGCCTTACAGTCAATCTCTGCCTTGTCACCGCTCGTCACTAGTTTATCTGCAGTGGACATAATTAGATGGATATTACTTTGTTTATAAGTAAAACCGTTTGTCTTTGTAAATTGTAGGGGGTGAGCGCTGCTGTGCTAGGACCCACATTTCCAGACCTGGCACGAAATGTGAACCGGAACATCAGCAGCCTTTCGGAAATATTCATTGGCCGGGCCCTCGGCTACTTGTGTGGCTCTGTGGTCGGTGGGGTGCTTTTCGACTGCATGAATCATTTCTTACTTTTGGGTAAGCTAACAGTGATTTTCATTTCATTGTTTCTGGCAGTGAGTGTGCAGTGAGTCTCTAAATATGAAGGCATCAGCCTGGGGATCTTGACAATTGAAGTATACTGTGTTTTGCTGTTCCCAACTGGATTGCCAGAGGCTATTGTCCCGATGGCAGTGACAGGGATTCGTTAAGGAGCGCTTTGGAAACTTGACTAACCCTGTGAGTGGGAATGTTGACATTCTCAAGCCTTGCCAGCCTAGGCCCCAAATCAGGCTCCGTTCCAGACACACACAGCGTCCCCACGTTGTGCCTGTTGGAGGCTCAGCTGGGTTCCCAGGGCCGCAGAGGTAAGAAACGGTTCTTGGAACCTGGATTGGACCCAAAAGGGCAGGGAAGGTTGATGAACTAACGCAAGCTGCATTTTTTTGTCTCTGCTATCCAATGTCAGAAACGAGCTAAGGATGCTCGCCCACATCTGAAAGCAGATGGGAAAGTCTTTACCATACCTGCTTTGAATAAATCGACCTCTAAAGAAAGTAAGGCAAAATACTTCTGCATCTGAAGGAACAATCTATTATTCCTGGTGAACAAATAAGAGATTCCTTTTATTCCAAAGTGCACTGAAGAATACATATAACTCACTATATAGATGTAAGTTTTTGTTTGTGGACCTGTTATACAGGTCTCTACCACTGAGCTTAGTCCCAGCCCAGAACTGCATGCCTTGTGTTTTCCTCCCAAGTCCACAAACTAATTTATGTAAAGTTTCCTAGTAACTCATCCTCCTCTTGGCTTTTTGTTATTCTATATGCAAACATTCCTTTTGGTTCTTGGATTTTTGTTTTGTTTGTTTTGCCTGTGTGTGTGTGTGTGTTTCACATATGTGTGGGCTCGTGTATGTTCAGGTGTGTGTGAATGAATTTGGAGGCCAGGTGTCTTCCTTGATGACTCTCCAGTTTCTTCATGAAAGCAGGTTCTCTCGCTGAACTCACAGCTCACTGATTTGCTTGCTCTGGGGAGCCTCCTAAACTCTAGGATTACAAGATCCCAACATGTCTCACCCCACCAGCCTCTTGTCTCCTCCAGCACGGTTTCTTTGGTAGCCCTGGCTATTCTGGAACTCACTCTGCAGACCAAACAGGCCTCAAACTCAGTGATCCTCCTGCCTCTGCCTCCCAAGTGCTAAAGGCGTGTGCTGCCACCACCCAGCTTCCACCAGGCTGGGGATCAGAACTCTGGTCCTCACACAAGCGTGGCGCATGCTCGTCATCTGAGCTAGCTTTCTAACTACTCCCCTCTATTTCAGTTATGCTTTAATCATAAAAGTGCATTTAATTATCTACTGTGTGTGTTCCAGAGCTCTCCTGTGGAGTCAGAGGACAACTCTTGGGACTCAGTTTTCTCCTTCCACATGTGGGGTCCTGGGCTCTAACTCGGGACGTCAGGCTTGGCATCACAAAGCCATATTGCAGCCCTCCTTTGGTTCTTAAGTGTAAAACATTTAAATAAATAGCTTTTACCTCTTTTGCTATGAAACTTGGCTTAATTGTGTGTTTTGTAGCTTGATTCTAGCGAAGACAGAATTACATTAATTTTTAATTAATTACATTAATTTTTAAACCTTTTATATTTTATAATCCATAAAGATTATACAAGATTTAAAAGGCATGGCTACTTGTAGAAGGTGCAATGTTCACCCACACAAGGTTTTCTAAATTTGATCCCATTTGTATCTGGTGGAGTTATTATGTTGGAGTGACTCCTGACTCACAAATACTGCTTTTCACAGCTGCCTTTCTTTCAACCTTGTCTTCCCAGGGCTGTCAAACCTGTTCACCTCGGCCGGCTTTTACCTGATTCCATTTTGTAAGACAGCTGTCTTACTGACTACCATAATGTCTGTCACTAGCATCTCATTTGGCATTCTGGATACAGGTTAGTGAATCACTCGATGTCTTATCTGGGACTGAAACACTACTGCTAGGGAAAGGTGGAGCAGGAGGTATTAAATTCTTCCTTGTGATGGGCTTGAAATGAAAAAGAGCTATTGATCTGTAGTCATCAACTCAGAACCAGCCTGTTAGCAACTGCTCTTCTTGAAAAGTAGGGCAGCAATTCTCTATCTGACTGTGAATGGCCCTAGAGATTTTTGTCCTATGTCCTATTGCTATCAGCATCTGAAGAGGGCAGCCAAGAGTCTGTGCTTTGTACCACTTTCTTTGCATTTGTTTTTTGCCTTTTGCTTTCTCAAAACTTCCCTTTATAGTAAAGCTTCTGCATATGCATGGTGTCTTTAAAAACCTACAGCTGTGGGGGCAGGTAGGATAGCTCAGTAGACAGATCCAAGGCATCACTTGCTGTCCAGCCTCGTTGCAATGGCAAGCTCTGGGATCAGTTAGAGACATTGTCTAATGACCATAAAACAGGGCATGACAGAAGACCCTGGACATCTTCCTTTGGCCTCTGGATGTGCACACAATTGTGTGCATGCCTACACACTCATATGCAACACACACAAATCTACTAAATGGCATATGTGTAGATGTAAGTTACAAAACAATCCCACACTAGTTTAGAATTATAATTAATAAAAGGGTTATTTGTTTAAGGAGAAAAACTTACAGATCACTGTCCTAGACAACAGCCCACTACATGACTAGGAACAGAGTCTAGTAGCTGGAAGCAGAACTGGAAGCAAGAGAGAGAGAGAGCAGGGTTACTGCTGCTTTTTAAAGTGAAAGAGACCACACCCAAGTGGGCTGGTATCTTAAAAGCTATTGGCTAAAGGAGTGGAAGGAGTTCCCACAACACCTTCCCCTTTTGTTTAAGTAAGAAAGTTCCAAACCCAAAACAAAACACTATAAACTAGGAACAAATATCAAGTATAAGATTAGAATTACAATCAGCATAAACAATATTAAGCAAGGAACATATGCTAAATATTTTAGTAAACATTCTATCCTAAGGAGTCTAAATCTTGTGTTGGAAATGGCTTGGCTAGATCATAAGAGGACGGTAACTATGACTATCTAATCTTCAACCCCATTGAAAGTCTGAGAAGGGAGATAATATTACTTGAGCAGGCAGGAAGTACAATCAAGTAGCTTCCAAAGCAAGAAATATATGACAGAGACAATTAGCTACCTGAGCAATCACCCAAAGTCTCATTTTGCAATGTTGAAGCAACCTACTTTGGCTATGGCCTACCGTAATTGACAGACCATTTTCAGTGGCAGGAAATTTTTCAAAACCATCTTATCCTGTCTTGGCAAGATTTGATAGTCCTGATTATCCATTTCCTGTGGTTAAGGCATTGTCAGTTCCTTGCCGAAAGGCTAGTTTTGCCAAGAAGAAAACAAGCTCCAAGTGGAGTGTCTTTGGGGCTCAACATTCTCTTGGGAATAGATTGGTGCTGTCAGAAATAATCATGTCTCATGTCAACAAAACCCTAAGTTGTTTAAATGCCTTGTTCCACAGATCCTTGAAGTGGTTGAAGATTACCTATATAGACAGAATACAATCTCTATGTATCTAAAGAATCTAATTGATCTAACTGTATGTACAGCAAGCATAAGCAACTATTGGCCTATAATAATTAATACCTGTATAACTTAAAGACTAAAACTTCATGTCAGAATATTAAATAACCTGTAAACAAATGTGCAACAACTGAGGACAATGACCTCAAAATGTAAACAATATATAAGAATCTTGATCAGAGGTAGGAGTAATATATAATGCAATATGAAAATATATCCTAAAAGTTGTATCAATATACAAAATGTCCTAAACAGAGATAATAACATACATATATTCAATCTGACAAAATAACTTTGTATAGGTGTACAAATAATATAAACAAAAGTAACAAATATAATTTGAACTTGTATCAATATACAAAAACTATACCAATGTAAATTATCTGTGAATAATAGCTCACAAGTATTCACTCTATTAACCACTATTACTATCCCCCTCCTTTTTTTTAGCAAACATAGTTTTCACCCCAACCCTCTATCTATTACAAGTAATAATCAACAACCCCTAAACAGTGTTCCTAACCCTATGGATAAACATTTTTGGGATGGGGTGTCGTCTTCTAGAATTGCTTCCCATTGCCATGAGAAGGTGCATCATTTCAGAAGCTGGTACCCTCCCCCAAAAGAGAATTGGTCTTATAGTAGCGCTGTCTGCATCACGATGTCATCTCAACTAGGTGGAGTTGTTGCTGTGGGGCCCATCTTCTTCCCGAAAACTTCAAAGATTATTGAAGGAAAAGGATCTGTAGGAAAATCTATTGTTCATCATGAAAAACTTATACATCATTAATATATACATTCAATGAAGAATATAATATAGACAAAAAAGGCATGGAAAAAGTAAAAATTTTTCCTAAAGTCTTTCTTCTGTCCCATACCAGATGGCTCCCGATATGAGACAGAAACTCTGACTGTTCCTTTAACAACACGCTTGGATTTAGAGAAGTACAGAGCCATTGTCCAACTCCAAAACCAGCTGAATATATTATTATTATATATTATATGCATGTGTGTAAATGTAAGTGTAACCCATACCTGGATTCATAAACAATATTCTGTTTTCTAGGTGTTCCTTAGTGGATAGTTATTTTTTCTTCTGTCAGCATTCAAACATCCAGGGTCTGGATGTTTTGATGATGTGTATTTTCCTGCAAAGATAAGAGCAGAACCCTGCCCCAACCCTAGATGGCTTTCCTTACCACCTGTATAGTTGTCACCATTGTGGATGAGCTGTCATACCAAGTGGGCTGGTATCTTAAAGGCTATTGGCTGAAGGAGTGGAAGGAGCTCCCGCAGCACATATGTGATATTTTTCCTCCCATATTCCATCCTTCTAGTCTTTCCTTCTCTGTCTAATGTTATCTTACAGATGTGGAAAATATTTTATTCTTTAGGCTTTGTTTGATTATAAATGTTTGGATTTTTAAAAAGAGATGCATGGACTTGATGCTTTAAACTTCTCATCCGGTAGGTCCTCTGACAACACTAAGGGCAAAATCCGAAATATGTATTATTTCCTGTAGTAGGCACACCAGGACATATGGTGAATTCAAGATTCTAAATCAGTATTTTGCACCTGTTTTTATGCATAAATAAATAAAATATTTACTATTGCAAGTACAAAAAAGGTTGTGCTGTGTCTGAACTGTATGTGTACATTTATACATATGTATATAATATATATAATATTATATATAATGTTAATATATAGAGATAGATAGAGAGAGAGAGAGAGAGAGAGAGAGAGAGAGAGATAGGTGTATCGAATGAAATTTTCCAGTAAAGTGCCAGCATATTTTATAAAAACCTCTGCTAATGTTCATGGCTCTAAGAGGTAGTAGCTGATCAGACAGTAGATTTCCATGCGTAGTCCATGGGTAGGTATGAAACCATGTGTGCAGAGAGCCTGCATCACAGAGTGCAATCTTCATTGTCTTAGAATACTTCCCATGCTCGTGCTGCATAATACAGACACACACCTTTAGTGGAGTTTGTTCACTAACACACATATTAGCAAAATTGCCACGTCTAACTTAAACCACTTCTTTCGTTGGCAGGTGGCAATGTTCTCATCTTGAACCTTTGGGGGGACAAAGGAGCCCCACACATGCAGGCCTTGCACTTCAGTTTTGCCTTGGGTGCCTTCCTGTCACCCCTGCTGGCTAAATTGGCCTGGGGTACAACAGCGTCCGCTCAGAACTACACAGAGCCCAACTTTGACCGTTCAGCCTTGAACCGATCCTCTGCAGGTACCTCTTACTCTCTGCTTGCGGTACCTGAGGACAAGAATCTGCTGTGGACGTATGCTTCCATCGGCACCTATGGCTTAGTAGTTTCTGTCTTTCTGCTTGCTCCATTCTTTAAGAAAAACTCAAAACAGAAAAAATCCACGGCATCTGATCAGGGAGCTCGAAGAGCTAAATACCACTGGGCCCTGCTCTGTCTCCTCTTCATCTTCTTCTTTTTTTACGTTGGAGCCGAGGTGACCTACGGCTCTTTCCTATTCTCCTTCGCCACCACCTATGTTGGCATGAAAGAAAGCGAAGCAGCCGGTTTGAACTCCATCTTCTGGGGGACCTTTGCGGCCTGCAGGGGCCTGGCCATCTTCTTTGCAACATTGTTACAGCCTGGAACCATGCTTGTGTTGTGCAACGTTGGCAGCCTTGTCTCATCTTTGTTTCTGGTGCTTTTTGACAAGAGCCCCCTCTGTCTCTGGATCGCGACTTCTGTGTATGGAGCCTCGATGGCAGCCACATTTCCCAGCGGCATTTCCTGGATTGAGCAGTACACCAGCCTCAGTGGGAGATCTACGGCATTTATTCTGGTCGGTGCTGCCCTGGGGCTAATGGCTACTCCTGCACTGTCTGGAACTCTTCAAGGACTCTACTCAGATCTACCAATAATTCTGTACACTTGTCTGGGGTCAGCAGTACTCATGATTGTTTTAATTCCTGGGATGTATAAATTAGCCACCTTACCTCAGAAGCAGAAGGAAACCGTCAACGGTGAGGACCAGACATTTTTACCTTCTAGCTCTGGGGAACAAGGAAGAAAATGCAAAGATGAAGAAAAATGCAATTAAATGGGAAAAGCACGAGCGGGGACCAGAAGACTTTGCTTTGTAGCTCTGAGATAAACAAGGAAGCTAAACGAAGAAGGAAAGGGGAGAGGTGTGCAATGAATTTAGAAGGGGTTGACATGAAGAATGAGGCCTCCTTTGAAAGAAATAGAATAGAAATGTTTTTATATAACCCATAGCTGAGGTCTCTGAGTACTCTCCTGGAATGTTCTACAGCCTGCATCCTCCCCAGATAACAGGGATGATTCAGTTGAGAATCACCAGGACAGAGGGACTAAGGGAGAAAATGGGCTGGTGACTGAGTGGCCTCACCGAGTGACTCCTAAGGAGCCTGTCAGAGCCAAGATCTAAACATTCAGCGTATTTCAGGGAACCCAAGCCGGGTCCATTTATAGCCAGTGGTGACATTGTGAAAGGATTAATTCTCAGGGTCTCCCATAAACTCCCAAGTGATCTCGTTCCGGGCCTCAGGTTTAGCGGGAAACTATTATGTTATAAACCCAACCTTTCAAAGAGTTCATAGAAGACGTCTATTTGTGTTTCATTCTTTTGAGACAGGATATTTCTGTGTAGCCCAGTCTGGTCTCAGATTCACAATCTTCCTGTCTTAGTTCTAAGACATCTGAGAATTTAAGAAGCTCCCCAATGTGGAGAAGCCACGGAGTGGGTTGTGTTTGCTAAACAGATAACCGGTTTTCTCATTCTACCTGAGAAGCTAGGGAGTAATTTCATGCCACAGTGTCCTAGGCAATGGGAGGAGTTTCTATTCATTGCTTACTTTGTCTTCAGGCTGGAGCAAGGATCTTAATGATTCACTTGATTGGTGTTTTTTCCCTTGAAGAGAACACATAGTTCAGGAGACCTGGGAGGCAGGTCTCCTGAGATCCCTAACGTTGCTCTCATAGAAGTCATCTCCCCAACCCATGATTCTAGAAGAGAAAATACAAGGATTTCCAAACTAAAATCCATGACTTCCGCAGTTCCTTTTAGATGTCTCTGAGAACATTCCAAAAAAGAAGTGAAACACAAATCACAAATAGACTTAAGAATGTGCTACACATCTAATACTTTATATGTTAGCTCTAATTTTCAGTAAAGTGTGAATTTTTAAAGCTGTATTTCATCAAGTCTAACTACTTTAAAATTATGGCATTTCTTATAATAAATGATTGTTCAACATTGTGGCAAGATTAATCAATTCTCTCCATTTACATATATGAAATGACATTGAATCTCATGATTAGATTCAATAAGACATCGTAGTTTATTGTTTTAAGGATTATGAAGACACCTAGTTCAGCATAATGGTTTCTATTTCTTTGGCATATATTCGTTGTACAGATCACTGGGTTTCATAAGAGTTGGAGACATGGAGGCTAGACAAAGTCTTCTCAAGCCCTTGACCTATTTCAGGGGTTGGGTCTCTAGTTTATTATTTCCGGATTTGATTTACACTAGTTCTGAGTAGTAGTTACTCCATAAGCACTCTAAGCATTTGGCAAATTTATCCTCATCTTTTTCGCATGTATTCACGTGCATGGTACATGCACATGCATCTGCATGCTCTCGTGTGTGCAGGTGTTTGAGGAGACTGGAGGTTGACATCCAGAGTTGGTTGCTCTTCACCTTTGCCACTAAGGCAAGGTGCTTGAGCTGACCCAAAGCTCTCTGAGCTTCCTACCTGGCCAGTCACTGTGTCCTAGGGATCTTTGTCTCTCCTCAGAGTGCTGGCATTACAGGTGAAACGCTATACCTCTCTGGCATTTATGTGTATTGAGTGCAAACTCTGGTCTTCACACTTGGGCAATAAGCTTTTTTAATCACTGTGCTGTCTCCCCTCCCTAGCCCCCAGTGTCAGTCTACAGGCTTTGTCATTTGAGGCTCCTCTTCCTGATAAAGAACCTAGGAAACCAAAGAAAAGATGAGAAGATGGCTTTATATCTTGAAGTCAAGGACGAAAAAGTCCATTTTGCATGCATGTGGCAAAACCGGTGTGGGCCATCCTTGGAAAAACGACTGGAATTGATGAAGGATTGGGTCTGGGCATTATTATTTCTAAATTCGATTTTTCATAGTTTGGAGTGGTAATTATATCATAAGCACAGTAAACATTGACAGATGTTCCCGAGATTCATGTTGCCCAATATTGTCTTTCTACACTGCAAAATGCTTGTTTACGTTTATCTCATATCTATAAACCTGAAGTTTTGATGAAAAGTGGTTTTGGTTTTTAAGTAAAGTGCAACTCTTTTGGGGGCTCAGGATCAAACCCAGAGCCTTGTGCACACAAAGCAAATGTTCTACTCTTTACATTCAAGCCTCAGGACAGCTCCTTCCTCAACAACTGTCCTTAATCTCAGAAACCCGCTATACATTGGCTCATGTTATTCACTTTGGACATCCCGAGTAGACAGGTAGACAAACTGCCGGTATAAGCCGGTCAGTCTTCCACTGCACCCTTGGTCAGAGTAGGGAAAGGGCTTTGGCATAGCTTGTTGCTTCTGCTCAAGCTGTCCTGTTGAGAAAAGTTGTCTCGGTTACTTTTCTCCTCCCATGAGCTCCATGACCAAAGCAACGAATATAAGAAAGCGTTTAATTGGGGTTTATGGTTCCAGAAGATTAGAATCCAAAACCAGCATGGTAAGAAGCATGGCACCAGGCAGGTGCAGAGCTACTATAGGAGTTTACATGTTGAGACAAAACTCACAATGAGGGGTGGGGTGGAGAGGGAGAGAGGGAAGGGGGAGGGAGGGAGAGAGAGAGCTAACTGGGAAATGGAATGGGCTTTGAAATGTTAAAAACTACCCCAGCAACGTACCTCCTCCAACAAGTCCACCCCCTGTGTCTTGGTTAGAGTTCTGTTGCCCTGAAGAGATAGCATAACCAGAGCAATGCATATAAGGGAAAGCGTTTAATTGGGGATGGCTTATAGCTTAGAGGTTTAGTCCACTCTCCTCCAGGAAGCATGGCAGCACAAAGGCAGACATGGTGTTAGAGAAGCGGCCGAGAGTTCTACATCGGGATCATCAGGCAACAAGAAGACAGAATGACACTGGGTTGGGCTTGAGATTTTGGAACCACAAAGCCCACCCACAGTGATATATTCCTCCACCATGGCCACACATCCTAATGATGTCACTCTCTGTGATCCTATGGGGGCTCTTTTCATTCCAACCACGAAACATTCTAATTATTTCCCAAAAGTTCCACCACCTGGGGAACAAGCATTCAAATATGTGAGCCTATGGGGGCCATTTTCATTCAAAATATCTTTGTCCTAGATAGTAGCAGTTTTGGGCCACTTTGAAGCTTGTCAAATGTGGGTTCTGCCTTCAGCAGTTGCCTATTGAAAACTTAAATAGGTATCAATTGTGTGGTATACATATTTTAGTTTTCCAAATTCTGTCCCATATAAGCTGGTTCTTCTGATATGAGACAGAGATTTTGGATTTTACTTTAATAAGAACTCTTAGTCTTTAATTGGACTGGGACTACAGAAAGATCATTTGTATTATTTGTCTGTAGAGAATAGTAGAAACAAAACGTTTGGGAAAATTTGTGAAATTTACTCTTTTCCTTGGGACATTTTCTTCTGGATGATTTGTCCTTTTTCTTTAGAACTCTCATCTGTCCAGTGGTCTTCACATTCTTTATCTGGATACCTTAGCTGAAAAGACAGAAACAAAACCCTTCCCCAACCCTAATTTTGGGAAGATTCTCTTTTGGCAAGATAAATATATCAAATGAAAAGCAGTTGCTAGTCTTACAGGTTAGTTTAGATCAAACAGCCATGGTGCTTAATGAGCTATCATCTCTTCTAATTAAGAGTTATCTCTTGTCCAAATCGAATCTTTATATAATTATGATGGTGTTCATAGATTTTCTTCTCCTGTGGAAACAAAAGAAAAATCCCTTCCCCAATGTAACACATGTCCTGTTTTCCATTCTGAGGTCAGTAAATCTTTAAAGAATAGTGGTTGGTTTAATTCTGCAGTTTTTTTCTTACTCTCCAATGTCTCTCCACAGCTGTTGTTCCTTTCTCATTAGCATTTAGAAATTTCAAACTTAATAAAGCATTATGCAATCTATTTCTGGGGGTATTTGTCATCCCTTTCTGTTTATTTAGCATATCATTTAGAGTTTGATTTGATTTTTCTATAATTGCCTACACTATAGGATTGTGTGGTATACTTGTAATATGCTTTATATTGTAAAAAGCTAAAAAACTGTTTCATTTTCTTAGAGACATAAGCTGGACCATTGTCTGCCTTTATTTGTGCAAGTATACCCATGATGGCCATAACTTCTAGCAAATGTGTGATTACTGAATCAGTCTTTTCCGAACTCAAAGCAGTTGCCTATTGAAAACTTAAATAGGTATCCATTTGTGATATGCATATTTTAGTTTTCCAAATTCTACAAAATGGAACACATCCATCTGACAGATTTTGTAGCTTTGAGTACTCTTTGAGTTACTTCCTGTGGATAGTGGTGTTTGGTTTTATAAAGAGCAAGCAGAACACTTCCTTATAATTTCCTTGGCTAGTTGCTACTTGGTAAAACTCTTTCTTTAAACCTTTGCTATTGACATAATATTTTTATGAAATTCTGAGGCCTTCAGCACATTTCCAATCAATAATTGATCGATTTCTGCATTACCTTGTGCTACAGGACCTGGCAGACCTGTATGGGATCAGATGTGTGTTATGTATATGGAATGATTCCTATTCCTGATTATATCTTGTAACTGAATAAATAAAAAAGTCAATTCTGTATCATCTGGTATAAATTCAGTGGTTTCAATATACAAAACAACTCTTTCTATATATTACAAGTTGGTAACTATGTTGAGAAGTTCTTTAAACCCCTTAGTACAATGAAAATAGCATATAATTTTGACTTTTGGACAGAATCATAAGGGGTTTGGTCCACTTTACTTAAATTTCCTGATTTGTAGCCTGCCTTTCCTGATTTATTTAAAACAATATAGAATGTAGGGGCTCCCATTATTGGTGTGTCCCATATGATGTGAGGAAGGATCTAGTTAGTTTTCTTTCTAAGTTGAATTCTCTTGCTTTGGGGATAGTTGTTGCTTATCTCTTCCAAAAAAAAATTAATACAAGCTCTTTGTCAGGATTTACTTTTTCCCAATAATTTGTCAATGTCATCATTATTAAAGGTGCTAAAAATTTCTGCTGGGTCTATTCCTGTTAACTGATGAAATCTCAATTTTCCTTTTAGAATTAATTCAGAGACCTTTTCTACATAAATTTATTTTTTTTCTACTTAGCTTATGTGGTAGAAAGTTCCATTCTAAGATAATCTCCTCCCTCCGCATTAAAATTCCTGTCGAGGAATGTTTGAGGGTAATATGGCCAGAACGCAGCTGGTGTTTGGGTCCACATGATCCACATGTGCCTTCCGTAACTTCTCTTCAATCAAAGCCAATTCCCTCTCAGCTTTCAGCTGATAATTCTCTGGAACTATTTAAGTCCTTGTCACCATCTAAGGTTTTGTTTAAATTAATCAATTCATTAGGTTTTATCACAATAGTGTACCATAGATGGGAAATGTCTCCTAGCAATCTTTGAAAGTCATTAAGAGTCTGAAATCGATCTCTCCTAATTTGTACCATTTGGGGTCTAATTTTTTTGTAAATCTATTTTATAGCCTAAATGAATAATAGAATCTCTTCTTTGTATATTTTCAGGGGGAATTTTTAATTCCCCAACAAGGGAAATTTTTCTTTACTTCTTCAAACATTTTTTCTTTGAAACAGATAGTAAAATGACGTCCATGTAATGGTCAACTATAGATTCAGGAAATTGCTTACCTATCGTTTCCAATGACTGACTTACAAAATACTGATGCAGAGATGAGCTATTTAACATTCTGCGTGGAGGAATCTTTCATTGATATCTTTTAGCAGACTGAGAATTATTTTAAGTGGGCACTGTGAAGGCAAATTTTTCTCTCTCCATTTCTTGTACAAGTATAGTGAAGAAACAATCTTTTAAATCAATACTATAGGAGACCATCCTTTAAGTAATAGGGAAGACAAAGGCATTCCAGTCTGTGTGCTCATTGGCTGAATTGCCTAATTAGATTTGTTACCATTCTTCATTTTCTAAATTTCTTTTTAATAATAAATACAGGAGAATTCCAAGGGCTGGTTGATTCTT